GGAAGCTCCAGTCTGTCTGATTCCCTCAGATGGACTGCATAAACCAAAAAATTACTCTAATTCCTAATTTCACTTTCTTTCATCGCAGCCTGCAGCTGCATGCCTCAGGCATGCTCTGAGGACTAATGACTTTTTTGCGCTGCATAAAAACATGCTATGACTATGAGGCATTATTATGGCTATAAGAGTAGCGAATTGATTGTACAACACAAACTGTCGAGTATCAGATTGCATTACAGCTTTGCAATACCAAGAATATGTGCCCGATGAGAGAAAAGTTAACACGAAAAGTCTGCTACAGTTCAGACAGGTACGCTACCCATGCAAAAATAATCTTTTGCTATGAGTGTAGTGTAATGTGCAATTTCACACCTTTCTAGAGAGACTTCAAAGATCTAAAAACTTTGAGATCCTTTGAAGAGTATGAGGAGTGTAATGATAAGGTTTCTAATGAGTACAACTTTTTTAGCCTGTTGTACAAGATCATAGTATATATTATAATGGAAATGGTCTCAGTGAATGCTTTTTTACTTGCTGCACCACAATGCCAGCCAGCCACCCTTGGGTAACCAGCTCACTGCTTAACCAGACACAGATGGCTTCTGTACTGAGGCAGGTGAGGCACTTTCTTACATTGCATTCCACCACCTGGTTCAGATATATATAGTAACAAGCAACCAGGAATACACTCACATCTGAATCTGCCACAGCCATTTTTTCTACCATGAACATTTGACTATGATTCAAGTGTAACCAAAATATGGATACACATATATACATATAAGAAGCACAAAGCGACAGTGAAACAGAAGTATTTCGCATCCTGCCATTAAGACACTGGCCTGAAATTTCAGTTTAACTCCACACTTCACATTCTTTAGCATGATCCTATGTTAATCATTCAGTCTCTCTATGTGTTTGCTTCTTACTTGCAAAAGTGATTTTTAAATATGCCTTTTGCTGTTCACTATTTGTTTGCTGTTGTTCTTTTACACTGCCAACCCTTTGGGGAAAGTACCATCACTTTCTCCATGTAAGAGCTACACAATATTCAAGAGTAAATCCAGTTTAAGTAGTTGTTCATCTGGGGGCCTTAGATCCTACACTTAGGCAGGATAACTGCATAGCGCTCAGTAGAAACCAGCTGCCCAAGTTTCCATCCCAGTTTTTGGGCAGGGTCTTTATTCTGCTCTGAGCAACACTTCTCAGTCTCCACAGTACTCAGGTTTATGCTCATACCTACCTGAGCTGCAGTCACAGTTTAATTGGGGCTCTAGGCAATAATGTTACACAAGGTCACAGCACACGTTATACCTGAAGCAATGTGGAAACCTGAAGATGAATGTGGAAACACAGGATACAAACATAAATTATCTGGTAAGATTAACTCTGCAGTTATAGCCCGTCAGCATTCCACTGGTCACTTAACAAGAAAGGACAATTTAGGAATGCTGTTGGCATTCACAAAGCCATTTGTCATTCTGGACACGCTTTTTATTGGAGCTATGAAATAAAGTTACTCTACAGCAATACTTCAGGAGAACGTAGTGAACAAATAGGGTGGCAGGAGCAACAGGTTTTGGTGAAAAACAACCTTTAACACTCTTCTGGTAGTCTGAGCACACGTAAGGAAAACAGAACTTAGCCAAGAAAGCAATTAAAGCCTCAAGCCAAATCCTCTGTGGGCATAAATCAGTTGCACTATTTCACACAAGGTGAAGAGCTGGCCCTGAAATGAATTCATCCTGCTGCTGTGTTATCAAAGGGCTTCTATTCACCTCTCTTGCTCACCAGCACTTGAAAGGAAGCATCCCATGAAGTATATGCCAGAATCCACACGATATATCTCATTGCATTTCCTCATCATATCCCCTCTGTTGATGACCTCTGGACCTTTCCTTTCAAATCCTCTGTGTTCCGATACCCCCACTGCACAAACATGGTTACCTATTTCCTACAGAAATAAACTTTGCTCAGTAACCATGGACATAGCTTATCCAGTGAGGAAAACACACAAAACAACTGTCCATTGTGAAAAAAATTATATCGCTCCTGTTCCCATTCAGTGACCCCATCCCCACTGACACCAGAGCAGCAATTCTTCTTATCTGAGGAAACATGACCACATGGGAGAAGATTAGGCGCTGGAATATTGCAGTCACATTGAGCAATGCTTTTCTTTTTCCTCTTCTGTAATCACAGTACTGAAGGGTAGATCTGACAGGATTTTATTGACACAGACTTTTTATAGATCCAGTTAAAAGGTCCCCAGACACTCATTCAGCTTCCTGTACATATAGTACAAAAGCGCTGCAGAATCATTGTTAGTGAAAATACATTTTGCTGTGAACAGGCAGGGGAGGAGAGAGGGGAATTCCAAAAGACCTCAACAGACATCACTTAAGTACAGCACGCTACCTGTGTTAGTTTGCCATAACCAAACAGAAATACTTTCTCTTATCATTAAGGGAATTGTAAGACATGGCCTTGGTTCTTAGCCTTAATCTATCTGATCTTTGGCATATGTCTCCTTCACTTCATTTCCCTATCTCAACAATAAAGACTGGTTCCTTCACTTCATCTATCTTGTCAAATTAGACATGTACACTAACCCTTTCACCCCACGTAATGTGGTTGGAATAATGTCAGAGAGCCCTAAAAGCCTCATATCCAGCCACAAAAAGATTCCTGCAGTGAAACACAGAAGCTACACACAAAACTACTTACAGAAGTAACATACTACATCACGTAACAGCCTCTCAGTTGAATCTCCAGAAATGCATACACTGATTAGATCTTTAATTTTATGTACTTTGAGATCATTAGCTGAAGAATTCAGCCATCTCTCACAGTAATAGCACCGAAACTAGTTAAAGTTGGAAAATAGTTTCTTCCTTAGCCTCTTGTTTTCACATTCATCCATTTTTGAAGCTGATTTTTTTTTTATGCTTTAGGGTAAAAACAAAACAAAACACAACACCCGTACATCTTGCTAAAATGGGAGCAAGTTCCCAACAGCTTTTGTGCTATGGAACAGTGGGAAACAAATATACACACACTTTTCCCATTGTAATGAAATTCTAACCATACTTGTTTTTGAATAGGGCAACAGCAAAAACAGCTGAAGTCTGAAATGTGACACTCAGCACATGTACCGTCCTTAATAAGAAGTACATGGAGTGCTGTGTTTGAGGAAGATGCGCTTTTTGCCTTTTTTCTTCAGTACTAATTGCCTGAAAAAAATCCCTTCCCATTTTAACAGAGCCTAATAAAGTTGTGCCTTTTTGACAACACAACAGTCACCTCTGCCCAGATTGACAAACTCATGGGCTGCTGAAAAGATTTGTGTGAGGGAAATGTTCATACATGGCTAACATCATACTGTCTGATTCATAAAATGATAGAAACCTGAGTAAAGTCACCTAAAAGTGGTTACTGATCCATAACAGACCAAAGATTGGCTCTGGCAGCTCAGACTTAACTCAGTCTAAATCTCAGATGAAGTCAGAACACCCATTTCTTCTGGAAAAACTTGTGATCATCTGTGTACTCCACTGTGCCCTGAATTGCCTTTGCACCCAGCTGGAGGCCTTTCTTCCCCTTCTGCAGTCATGAAAGATTTGGAAATGATGTTTCTGGATGTCCTGCTTCCTTTGTAAGTTCAAGGCCCCTTTCTTATTATTCCATGTGGAGAAAGAAATGCTGTTTTTCACTGGATACTGCTGCTACCACCTTCAACTACCTACAGAGTGCAACTCTCCTGCAAAACAACCAACCATCTCTACAGTACTCTTCCAGCATTTAAGTTCTTTACAGCCACATTTTTGCCTTCATCTCTGTGACCATTATAAAGCCACAGCTGTGGTGTATGAAGTCTGATCTGTCTCACTGTGAGAGTGATCCCAGGGGAACCTCCTTTTCCTTTGGATCAAGGATTTGGATCAGAGCAGCAAGGCTATATGGGCCATTTATGTGCAGTACATGCCATGTGGACCTTCAGGATAAGGGGCCATTATTGGACCAAACCACAGGCACTGAAGGTTACATGCAAGACAGCAAGCCAAAACAATGCCATGCCTTAAAGGATTTGGAGCTTGGTTATGCATAATCATAGAATCATAGAATCATAGAATGTTTAGGGTTGGAAGGGACCACTAGTGGTCATCTAGTCCAACCCCCCTGCAGTGAGCAGGGACACTGCTAACTAGATCAGATTTCTCAGAGCCCCATCCAACCTGGCCTTGAATGATTCATAGGCACCTGTAGGAATCAGGCTGGCATGGCAGATATCCAGGGACAGATATAGTTTTCAGATAGGGATAGGATAAATACCTAGGGCATGAAAGGCCACAGGTCCAATATCGAGGACCTGTGGGTCTCTAGAGAGACCAAGTGCAACTTGGATACAAAGGCAGCCGAGAGCATTCCTTACAATCTAGCTGAGTCAGAGCAATCTGTCCAGGCAGAAACAGGAAAGGGGATATATTTACAGGGTTGTGAGCATTTATTTATTTAATGTTGTCTTTTAGTCATGGAAGCTCCTCAAGCCTTGTGATGCTCCATAAATAGTTGTGATTTCCCCCCCACCCTGCCACAAGTCTACTAACGCTTCACAGACTCCCTGTTTTGCCTTCTCCATGCAGCACTATGGTGAAACCTCAGCAGCACATGGTTTTTCACTCCCAGATCTTAGCTGGTTAAGTTTTCAGTTTAGCAGATTCAAATGATTACTACTACTCATAATTTAACATCACAACTAGCCAAAACCGAGGATCTAACCACAAAAACAGACACCTCATGCATGCTGCCCTAGCTTTCCAGCTCAAATAATTGTCTGTGACTGCCAACACAGAGCACAAGTAAGATGCTGGCACTGAAGTGAGTTCTGCAAGATCAGTTATCAGGGTTTGCAAGCTTTTCTCAGCAGCAGGGAAGGTAGCCATCATTTTCCATCTCTGC